CCCTCACAACTTAACATATAGAAAAAGTATGAAAAAAATCAGGAAATCAACGTCATAGGCCGACATGGGCCGTGTCACCTGACATGGGCACCCGTGCCGTCCTCTGTCCATTTGTTCCTAAAGAAAACTCTCGCCCAGACCTTCTGATACGGGCCCTGTCAGCTGACACATGTGCCAGTGTCAGCCTCTATTTTCCACGTCTTCCCTACGTCTTCTGTAACACCTGAGGCCAAAGAAGGCGGGGCGTGATTACACCACATGTAACACTCGAGGCCAGAGAAGGCTAAGAGTGGTTGCCACATCAAAATGAGAGGGATCCTGAGACTGTGCAGGTATGGGACTGCATAGTTGAAGCAAGCTTATGAGGATTTATTGGTACTACCTATACCAACAAGACGCATCTTCTTTTTGGTAGCCCATTCATAAAAATTCTACAGTTAAGTGTGTTTAACTTGGAGCAATTATGGGATGGGTGACCTTCTGGGAAGTTTCCCGGAAAGCGTGTGAGTAAGGCCAAATCACGCTGAAAAGACCAGTGTTTATTTGCGGGGTCAGTCAATAATCCTGGAAGTAGCCTGGGGCTCCTGTAGTGTTTCCTCTGAAACTTGGAATTATGCACTTTTTCCGCCCGATTTGTCCTGTTTTATCCTTCTGAACCTGAAAACACTAAAACACAAAACCAAAGCATAATACGCGATAAAACAAAATGAAAACTCGATAAGTAAAAGAAACGATAACTAAAATAACTGTAAATATCTGTGTAAAAACTACTAATCACAAACCTACAAAAACATTTTTGGCACTTTTATATTCAACATGTTATTCATTTAATAAATCAGATTCCTTCCCCTTTACTGAAAAATAACTCTCCTTTTCAACTTTTATACAATAAAACCCCTACTTTATTGCAATTGAAAACCTTTTATTGCCTTGTCTATGCTTCTACTTTGACTGCTCATGGGACAAAATTTGACACTCGAGCACACAAAACTATTTATCTTGGATTTCAGCATGGCACCAAAGGATATTTTTTTTATGTGATTTGCATTCTCATAACTTCCTAATTTCTTGGAATGATATATTTTATGAAACTGTGTTTCCTTTCCACTCCACTCATACTCCCTCTAACCACTGCCCTCAACCCTTTCCTCCTCAGCCTATATCGGACCTTGAACCTCTCCTTAACCCTTAACATGTATCAGTTCATGACCTTGTTATCCAACCCCTCACACATGCCCCGACCTCATTCTCCCCCTCCCATTCCTACCCTCCGACATCAACCTGATAACAAAAATGCTCCTATTAACCCTCATATACCTCCTTCCACAAGACAATCCACCTGCCAAACTCGCCCTCCTAGTTACCTTCAAGATTACCACTGAACCTCCTTCAGCACCAGCCCATAACCAACATTGTCTCTCATGACACTCCTTTTCCCCTTTCCTATGTCTTAACCTATCAAAACTACTCTCTCTCTCTCTCTCTCTCTCTCTCTCTCTCTCTCTCTCTCTCTCTCTCTCTCTCTCTCTCTCTCTCTCTCTCTCTCTCTCTCTCTCTCTCTCTCTCTCTCTCTCTTACAAAACATTTTGCCTCTCTATTTCATCCACAACTGAACCAAAAAACTATAAACAAGCTTGCCAATCTGACTCATAGAACTATGCTATGAAACTTGAACTAGATGCCCTTACTTCCACCAACACATGGACCATAGTTGACCTACCTCCTAACAAGAAACCAATAAATTGCAAATGGATTTACAAAATGAAGTATCATGTCGATGGCTGTATTAAACGCTACAAAGCCCGCCTTGTTGAAAAAGGCTACACTCGAGGAGAAGGTATTGATTACTTTGACATTTTTTTCTCTGATTGTCAAGCTAACCACGACAAGATTCCTCCTTGCTCTTGCTTCCATTAAAGGTTGGTTTTTAGAAAAATTAGGTGTAAATAATGATTTTTTACACAGTGACTTACATTATAAGTCTACATGACTTTACCTCAAGGTCTTGTTTTACCTTCGTCTATGGGCATTAGTAACAAAGTATGCAAGCTTCAAAAGTCTATTTATGGACTTAAATAAGCCAGAAGACAGTGGTATGCTAAGTTATCTTATTCTCTTCTTTCAATAGGCTACAAATATTCTCTCGCTGATTACTCTTTGTTTACTAAAAATAATAATTCCTCGTTTACTGTTTTAGTTATTTATGTGGATGATTTTGTGCTGGCTGGAAATGATTTTTCTGAAATTTCCTTTGTAAAAAATTTTCTTCATGGCTCATTCAAAATAAAAGATTTAAGAAGTCTTAGATATTTTCTTGGCATTGAAGTGGCCTGATCTTCCAAAGGCATTTTCATTAACCAAAGAAAATACACACTTGAGCTATTAAAAGATTTTGGGCAGCTTGCTACCAAATCGTCTAAAACTCTCTATGACCCTTCCCTTAAGCTTAATTGTCCAGATTTTCCTCTTTATGAGGATGAAACTCAATACAAAAGGCTTATTGGATGGCTCCTTTATATAAGCACCACTAGAACATATACTTCCTTTGCCGTTCAACAACTTAACCAACATGTTTCTAAGCTTAAAGTTGTTGTCTATGTTCTTCAATATTTAAAAACTGCTCTCGCTGCATGTATATTTTACTCTTCAGATTCTAACTTAATTTTATCTGGTTTTGCAAATTCGGATTGGGCAACATTCACAATTTCTCGCAAATCCATCACAAAATATGCAATTTTCTTGGGCTCTTCACTCATATCGTGGAAGTCTAAGAAACAGAACACGGTTTCTCGGAGCAGCTCTGAGACAGAATACCGCGCTTTGGCAAGCTTGGCATGCGAGATTCAATGGCTACATCATTTATTCAAAGACTTGAATAACCCATTCAACAAACCAACTTCAGTTTTCTGTGATAACAACTGAGCCATCTACCTTGCACACAATCCTTCATTTCATGAGCAATCGAAACACATCGAGATTGACTGCCATGTCACTCGAGAAAAGATTGAAGTTGGCATAATCAAATTGTTCCCCATTCACACTCGCCTTCAAGTTGCTGACTTTCTGACAAAACCTCTCTATCAACTAGCTTTTGCAACACATCTTTCCAAGCTTGGACTTCTCAATCTACACAGTCCAACTTGTGGCGGAGTCTTAGATATGACTGTCAATTAATATATTTTACTATTTTTCCCCTTGCTATCAGTTATTTAGCCTTAGTTATGTTTTCTGTTACCTTTCCTATTAATTAGGTGTGTTTGTTTCAAGTTATCAAATTATATTCCTTGAATTCATATTCTTTGGAATAATATTCCAACTTATATGTTTGGAAAAAAATAAACTTTCTTAAAAATGTTTACAAATTTATTTAATTTAAAAATTATGAAAAATAAAAATAGTAATAAATTGTGATTAGAAGTGGGAAATTAGTGATAGTTGGATTTATTTTCATGGAAATGTTGAATTTCCACCCTTTAATTATGAGAATAAAATAGAAAAATCATATATAAATAAGATTTCTGAAAATAAAATATATCTTACAATAATTTTTTAAAATTTGAATCAAACATGAAAATATTGAATTTCCACGATCATATTCTTTAAAAAAAAATTTACAACCTTAAAACAAATACACTCTTAAAAAATTAGTTTCAGACTATGTAGTATAAATACACCACCTCTGTACCTTCCTAATTCATTCAATAATAATAATAATAGCTTTTTTTCTTCTTTTCATTATGATGATTAAATATACATCAATAAAGAGAACTTGTTTCCTAATTTCTAAATCAAATAACTTATAAAATCACAAAAGAAGTAAAATATAGTTCAATTACTATATGATTAATTATTTTTTAAATTCAAAAATATCAAATAAATATTAAAGTATAAATATAATCTTCTAAAACCACCTCTAGGATCTCCTCATAAATCGATATTCAAAATTCAAACAGTGACTGTGGGGGAAAATCTCAATCATTAATTAAAATTGGATAGTAAATATATCAAAATATAAAATTATTGAAATTGGATTGAATTATTTGACTTCACCCAAACGATACCTATTCATGTGAACGTGTGAGAGAGCCTCACATCTAGAAGAGTGCATATTTTGAATTTTGAATTTTATTTATATAGAGACAAACTTTTTGACCGATAGCTAAATACTACTTTTTGTGTTTTGTTTTGACAATGATATTTATATACTAATCAGTTATTATATAATTATTATTGTCAAAACAAATATACTATCTCGAATATTTTTTATTCTAAAAAAATTGTTTGCACATAATTATTTTCATATTTATTTTTATGTTTAAATGATAAAAATCCAATATTCTTATAGAAATACATTCAACTATTTATAGTTTTTTACTATTACTCAAATATTATCATTATTATTTTTATTTTTTATAATTTTTAAACTAGATAAATATGTAATTATTTCAAGGAGTTTTAATTTTTATCCAAACACAAATAAAAAATATTATTCTTAAAAATAATAATTTAAAAAATATATTATTATTAGATTGCGCGTAAATATATATTTTTAAAAAATATTCAAAAAGAAGATTTTCAGATCAAATCATCAAGATATTATAAAATTACTAAAATATTCCATCAAATCACTAAAATATTTTAAAAATATTGTAAAACTATATTACTTTAATAATATATTTAAATTTAAATAAATTCATGTAAATAGACATTAAATTAGATTTAATAGATGTTTGAAAATTTCATACTAAATCCTAAAACTTAGCTTTTTGATATGCCACATGTGAGAGTTAAATCTTGAAGCTTTTGAGAAACCAAACTCCAACACATCAATACTACAGGCTACAGGATCATCTTTTTTTGGCAACCTTTCCTTTTTTATTTTTTTTTATTTTAATAATTTATTTCCATTGTTCTTACCATATAAATTTCATCTTATTATCATCACGTTAATTTCTGTGTTCCAAAATCTTGTAATTCAGAAGATCTTTAATTTCCCAAATATGAGAGACCTAGTTTCATGTTTGAGTGAAAACTCAATAAACGTTTCAAATCCTTCATGTTCCAGCTACTCTAACAACCAATGTATCACACCAAGCACTCATTCACTTTCAAGTTCAACCCAAACCTCAGTTTCATGTATTTACAAACTAGTCCTCTCAACCTCGAAACAAATTGTAGTCACCGTCACATGGTGCAGAAATCATTCGAATCAAGGACTCACCATATCCTTCAACAACCAAGATCCATCCATCAACACAAACTCACGCTTCTTCCGCAAGAAAAAAGGCAGCAAACTCATCGATTTCCACGATTCCAAGGTAACTATTCTATGGGATCTGTCAAACGCAAGATACGAAACGTCGACATCGCCGGAGCCGCTTCAGTTCTACTACGTCGTGGTGGTTGTAGACTCCGAACTCGGTTTAATCCTCGGAGATTCAGAAACCATAGCTACAAAAATGAAGGATAGCATTCCAATGGCGAAGGTTTCGCTCTTGTCACGTAGAGAATATTGTTCCTCAGGTAACGCAGTCTATTCAACCAAAGCTCAGTTCTGCCATGGCGGTAACTACCATGACGTTGTTATAAAATGCAGCTTGGAGAAACAAGTATCATCATTATCATCATTATCGCCCGTTTTGTCTGTGAATATTGATAAGAAGAATGTGATTCGTGTGAAGAGGTTGCGCTGGAATTTTAGAGGGAATCAGACCATTTTTGTCGATGGTTTGTTGGTTGATTTGCTTTGGGATGTTCATGATTGGTTCTTCAATTCGAGTTCGGGTTCGAGTTCGAGTTCTGGTGTTTTTATGTTTAGGACAAGGAGTGGTTTGGATAGTAGATTGTGGTTGGAAGAGAAGAATTCTCACAAAGATAAAGATAGAATTGAGTTCTCATTCTTCATCTATGCAAGTAAGAGTTCTTAAGGATTTTTATTTTGTTCATGTTTTTATTTTTTTATTTCTTATATTCTTTTTTTTTGTTCTAGCCCTTTAGGTTAGAGGCTAAAGTCGAATTAAAAATTGTTTTAGTCAAAATTTGAACTCAAGATCCTGAAATATAACAGTTGTTATTTATTTTGAGAAGATGATAGGTATTGTTTTACAAAATCGAGTTATTTTGAGTGTTTGGTTTTTAATAGTTTAATTATTAATTTAATAGTGGAAGAATAAATAAGATGTCGCATATTTAAATACGTTTTGAGAAAATGATAGATATTCAATTTTTAATAGTTTAATTATAAATTTAAAAGTAAATAAATGAAATGTCGCAAATTCAAATATATACATTTTTTTTATCTATGCTGAGATGATATTTTTTTCAAAGAGAAAAATAGTTTAATTATTAAAATTTTATTATTTAAACGTGAACAATTGAGATATCGTGGATATGTGATGACTTTGGATATATGCTACACAATTAAATCTGATTAATGGAATTCATTGTTGTACTTTAATGTTGTGAAATATTGCATTTGTGCCAAACATGATGGGTCAACTTTTTGATTTTGTTAAAATTAAGGGAAAATTAACTTCCACTAATGACAGTTTTTTCTCCTTAATTAGAAGACGTGTGAAACTAATTCTCTTTGGAATGTAGTGTCAAAGTATTGCATTTTTACCAAACAATAACATGATTTGTCAACATTTTGATATTGTAAAAAATTTAAAAATTAGATTATGTTATTTATTATTTTACTACTTTTGTAGGGTTATGTAGATGATACTATTATGTGCTCACAACATCAACTGTATGTCACTGACAGTAAGAGTTAAAATAGAGAAAAATACAAAGAGGGGAAATTTTATTATAATAGAAATAACTAAGAAAGTGGAAACTTTAGAAAGAGCACAAATGAGTTTGAAACTTGAAATATAATCAAAACAATATCATAGCAATTTACATGACATTTAAGCATGAATAATGGTGGAACATTTGATTGTCGCCTATGATAGTCTATTCATGTCCTTAGGTACCTTGACATGTGTTTATGACTCCATGGCCCCTCCATTTTCAACTTCACTCATACTCATACAATACAAATTATTACCAGCTACTTTGTGGGTGCATGTGCTTTACATGCATATCCTAAATAAATAGTCTTTTCACAATTAATGATTGTACTTAGAAAAACAAAGGCATTTATGCTTTGGACTTTCATCTCATGTTATACTTAGTGGGCTTCCCTAGCCAAAATAGAGCCCATCAAAAGATTTGGACTTTTCTAGTTATATTATTACTTTGGGGATGCCCTTCTCACCCTTAGTGGTGAAAAGCTACTCTAATAAAATCTAAAAATGTTTTTGCCATAATAAGAAGTATGTTTTCATATACATCTCAAATACATCACATTCATAAGTGACTCATCCATTATTTTTTTTGTCAAAAACAAAATAATAAACCAAAATGTATCTCTAATTTATAGAAAGCCGAGTCTATATGTACACTTCAATAATAATATTAGACATATTTTGAATTCATTGACTTGTATTTATTTCACTACTCAGAATAGTTTCGTAATAACCTTTAGATAAGATTGTTATAAATTAGATATTTTTTAAAAAATATTATATTATAGACCATTTATACTAAGTATATTATTAAAAACAATTTTGTTATAAAATAAATCACGTGTCATATCTTAATTTTGTCTCGAGATTTTCATAATTATTTTTGTATATCATTTGCATTAGATCAAGTTTTTGTGTATCGCGTCATGCAAATTTCATTCATTTCAAGTTGATTCTATCTTAAGTCAAATGAAAAATGAACATTTGATCATTTGAATAAATTCCATGGCGTGTATCATTTCAAATAAATTCCTATCATTCATTATATGCATCTTACATTATTTAAAGTCAAAAGTCAACACAATTAAATTTGAAATTGACTATAGTTCATGCATTATTGTTTTTGCATCATATGCATAAAAAACCAAAAATAATAATTTCAATAGGAATAAAATTCAAGACAAGTTCTCATTTCATCATCATTTTAATTCATTTCATTTCTGATTTAATTCATTTCAAGAAGTCAACAAAAAATCAAGAATTTGACACTAGAAGACAAAATAATCACATTTGTTTTTCCTCATCACACTTCTCATTTACGCCTAATTTGATCTCATCTATTTACACAATGCATCATAATTTTACATTAGAATTGAGATATTTTCATGCTAAATTAAAATTCACATTTAAATGCACTCAAATTCACATTTAAATACACTCAAGTTCATCCAAGTTTACTCACACTTTTTATATTTTTTATAATTCCTAAACCACCATTTAACCTAATATTAGAGTCTATAAATTAACATCATTTCATTCAGAAATAACACCAAGAATCATACACAAAAATATAGGCAAAGTCTTGCACAAATCACTCTCTAAATTTAAGAAACTTTGAGAAAAAAGCTTGAAAATCTAAGTTTATATGTGAATCTCTTCTTGTTAATGAAGAAATTCCAAATTCAATACTAAGAGTATTGTCCCTACACCATACAAATCATTCCATTCAAATTTAATCAAAAAGTCCATAGCGTTATTCATGTTCTTGAGTAAATTCATCTAGGTAGCCTTTAATATTTGTTGTTTATTGAATTTCTTTGTATTTTTATATTTCTGCACTTAATTACTATCATAATCATCATTGAATTACATGGAAACTCCATTATCTCAAATTTTTTAAAATCAAATTTTTAAGTGTTCTTGAACCTCCATGAGCAAAAATGGTAAAATGCAAATTCATGTTTGTTTCTCATGAGAGTGGCTAGAATGGCCGAATCGAGCAAATATATGCCGTTGGTGATTTTTGTAAATATTTGTTTCTTATTTATTAACTTTTAGCATGCCATGTTGTTTGTGAGATCGAGTAGATGAATTTTCATTACTCATTTGCTTAATTCCATGAAAAAATTGGAAAATTATGGCTTGTTAATGTTGGAAGGTTGGATTTGTTCTTGGCATGAGGAAGAAGTGATGTTTTTTTCTAGATTTAATGTGAGACGTACAATCGGTGTTGGCTGATTGACCAATCTACCAATAGAGCACGAGCCACGTGGTACTGAGATTGTGTGTTTTATTTGCTTGCTTGTATCGCGCTGCGAAAAAATATAGAGTCGCCACCGAACTCTATTTATATCGAAGGAAGGAAAGATATCGAGAGAATCCCAAAGAAACGGATAAGATGGTTTTGTGACCAAGAGAAAGGTTACAAAAGTAGGCTACACGAGGGGAAGGTATTAGCACCCCACGCGTCTGTGGTACTCCACAAGATTCACATAAGTTTGCTCTAATCTAAGGGTATGTAAAAGTCTATGTCTAAAACTTAACGCTAAGAGGGAATGCATGCGAAAGAAAATACGGGGAAAAGAAGGAATATTTACAAAGTTTTGCTCTCCTAGGCCCCGCAACCTAGTGCCTACGTACTCCCTCATGCAATGGGAAAGTCAGAGTGTCATAGTTCGGATCACATATTTTGGTTTGTTGTATGTTTTTTACCTTGAAAAAGGGTTTTTTTTAAAAGACAAACGGTAAAATGAAGTTTGAATTGATTGTTGTTTTTAACCTTGAAAAGGGATTTTGTATTATTAGAGTATTTTATGAAGTTTGAAAGGAAAAAAGAGAAGTTTTAGTTTAATGCAGATGTAGAAGAGAAAGAAAAATCTAAAGGAGACTAGCAAAGTACGCCTAGAATTGTGATGCGATGTTGATCCTATAGTCGATGATAAAAGGGAATGTATCTACCTATGTTGACATACATGGTCTACAACCTAAGGTCTATCTCAATTCGCTTCATAAGATTGAATCAAGAAATCCTACGGGAGCATGTAAACATGCAACGAAAAGCAAACACACAAAGCTTAAGAAGTATCCATTCACTCAAGTAGCACACACCTAACCGAGGTACTGCGTCACCAAGGTAGGAAAGGAGAGGGACGCCTAACCACGATATTGTATTATCGAGGTAGGACAAGGGAAGTGGGATACCTAATCAAGATATCGAGTAATCAAGGTAGGATAAAGGGAGGCTTAGCCAAGATATCGAATCATTGAGGGCAAGCAAGAATAAGGGAATAATGGATTCTTAACTGTGGTATCACGTTACCAGGGTAAGAAAGATTAGGGGCATCGACCCTTAACCAAGATATCATGTTATCTAGGCAAGAGAAGAGCAAGAATGAATCATCACATGAGACTAAACACCTAACCAAGATATCACGTTATTGAGGTAAGAGATATAAGGCAATAGTGAGATCATAACGGAGCATCAACATATATGTCTCGTGAGATAATGATAAGGCGTATGGGATTGGTTACTGCTCCCTGTATTCCACTTGACTGACTCGATAACAAGAGTAGCACAATTCATAGCACAGATGTACGGCCCGAGCTACAAAAGATACAGACTAGAAAATGACGTGGTCGATTGCGGACCCTCAGCTTAGCTTACCTTCTTTGAGGACTTAATAATAGGGAATGGGAATGGGACACCTTCATTAAGGTATTTGGCACAAACGTAAACACACATAATTCTAAACACGCAGAATTGTAAACACACACAAGTAGGAATTGCCTGCTATAGGTCTTTAAACAACGACTTGCTTCAAAGAGACTCCAGAACATGCATCTTTATCCTACTTCTCGTCGCAACGAAAGTGATAAAGCATGCATCTCTATTCCTACTTCTCATGACATCAAAAAGTGATAAATAATGAGAGAGATAAAAGGAAACATATGAGAATACCAATCGAATGGAAGTTTGTTAATTATCAGACGAAAGCAAAGAAACCCAAAAACTCCGTGCAAGCTTCACCAAGCAACAGAGAAACAGTCAGAATCAGATGCAATAATAGTAAGCAATATTGCAAGTGCGAAAATGAATTGCATGCGGAAAGTCCTTCGCATGGAATCAAAGTCCATGCACAAGATAACGTTATACAAGCAAAGCAATGATCCAAGTGTCGCTTGTCGCATGACAAAGCCTTCGAAAACTTGTACAAGTCACAAAACCGGTTAACAAATAACAAGGAATATCAAATGTAACTCAACAATCGACATGACAAGTTAAAATGGCATATTATCATGTATAGAATGAAATGAAACAAGTAATGGAAGCATAAAAGAGAATTCCAGACATCATGTATATTACACAAAGAGGCACGCAAAATGTTCGTCCAAAATAAATACAACTCGATACAGATGTCTAACAAAGACCGATACAAGTAAAATGAAGCATAAACCAACAATTAAAACAAGTTTCAGGTGCACTTTACAAAACTGGGCAGCACTACGGTTATAAAATGAATTATCCCGAAAAACATATCGGAATCAAGGAGACTCAACCACAATAGTCCAAAAAATAAGAATAAAACATACACATGCATCATATGAAAGTCAAAGCTCAATGTACATGTTACAAAGAACCGAATAGCACTAAGTTAAAATTTTAGGTGCACGAAATATCAGAATCGAATCGCACGAAAATTACAAGATAGCTCCCAAACGCACCAACGAACTCAAAAAGTATACGCCTTGAATTAAATCCAAGCATGAGTACCACTTATATTCCCGGGGCCGTCGTGTACACTTTTGTGAATTTCAACCGAAATCAAGTTTAAACAACGGAAACAAATGCATAAAAGTTTTCATTGGTTCAACTATCATCACTTATGAAAAATGCACAAGTTACAAACAAAAGAAACACAATGGATGCCTTAAATCCAAGCATAAATCAAAAGTCATGTGTTAATGTAATTCCTCCTAATTTGAGGTTTTAAAAGTCCAATAATTAAATCAATCAATAAATTAGTATCAAATTACATTAACTCATGAAATTCCTGCTATATTTGTAATTGTATGTCCTTGACTTGTTGAGGGGTCACACTCTTGTTTCAACCCATTAACATAAACTATAGTGTTGTAACTCTATTAAACATCTTTATCGTTTTCATAGGGATTGGGAGATGGCCCTCTGATCACCATTGTACTCTTGGGAAGCATATGTATCTTCAAAGTTTGACCTTGGTGTGGTATTATTACTAGTATTTTTGTTGAGCTTGGCTCCCCGCAAGGAATTACAAGTAGTTTCTGAAGAAG